GAAGTCGACGATTCTTCTCGTACATCATGAGCCAGGCGATAGGTTCACTCAGATCACCATTTGCAAAGCGGTTAAATCGGGATACCCTGTTCATCCTTCCATCAGTCGATCCATGCAATGCTGGGGTAAGATGAAGCAACTTTGTTGCTCGGACAAGTTGGAGTTGTCTTTCAACACGTGCTACTTCATATCTTTCCGCTGCAAGAGGAAACAGATCTGAGATATCTGACTTCTGCTGATCCATGTGTACAGCTCCAAATTCTTGCGCGAAGAGGATGACGACATGTTGGAAGTGTTTGCAAAATACTTTCGTCAGTTGCGGATCGACGTGTTTGACTGTCGAAAAAATTGACGTTTCAAGAGTATCTTGTCGAACCTGATCCAGGGCACTGCTGACGTCGTTGAGGTCCCACGGTAATAGGAGTTGCCGCCTATCGTCATCATCCGCTTGCGGTGGCTGCAACGACCCAGAGAGAGATGGAGACGATGTAGTACCTGGTTCGCAACAATGCTTGGTGCGTGGAGAGAAAAGGTCGCCGCATGTGCCACATGCGGCGTAACCAGGTGCTTGGCTGCTCGAGCGCAAGGATCCAGGAGGAGACAGATTGAGTAGTAGCTCCTTTCCTCGACCTTTATGCTGACGTTTTTGGTGTGTAGCCAGATTCCTCGCCGTCAGGTTCGTTGATCCTTCGCTGATGCAGAGGGGACATGAATACCGTACTTCCGTTGGGCATCGTGGTGCAGGTCCAGGTACGGGTGATGGTGGTGCCAGATCTTGGTTCAGAGCGGCCATTCCGCAGCTTGTCGCCGCCACGCGGAGGGGTGGCCAAGTGCGTGAGAAGCGCAAGGCTTTTCCCCGAAAGCAGGCAGAAAGGTGTCGTCTTGGGAGCAAAGGGGCATGTGTTTTGTAACATGCACGTCATGCACAAGGTCGAAGCATTCATGGATGGAGAGCAATCCTATGCGAGAATGTTTGCAAAGCAAATGAGGGAAGAAGGGCCAGCGTCCACCAAGCCGTTCCTTGGTGAACACAAAGCCATGCGAGGGGAGGCCCTCGCGCATGGGTTCTGTACGCCCGTCTCGTACACGACCGGAGCAAGCGAACACTTCAAAACAAAACGTGCCCCAGCGAGTGAGTCGGCGAGAGCAAAACCGTGCCCTGTCTAAAACCAGGTATCTAAAAAAATTTGAGAGGAAAAAAATGCGAGACGCTTCACGCGAACGATGAGCATCGAAGCGAAGGATCGGTGTCCAAATGCCAGACGACGCCACAATGTTATGGAGGAACAAGGAAATATAGGGGGAGGGAGCAAGTTCGTTGCTTCTGGCTTCGGGTACAGTTGTTTGATCTCTTGTTTTAGTCTTCTTAGACCAGGTCCGCTCAGCGCCCCCTCGGAGAGTGAGGGAGCCGGGCTGGGATTTTGATCTTCTTCCTTCAAGCTATTTCAAAACCCGTCGACGACGCCAACTATCCATATCACGAAAATTGTGGGCACCACATGTCAGTATATAAGGCTTGGGGCACCATATCTCGTGTCGGGCAAAGACCCTTTTTACAAAATTCAAAATATCCAATAAGCGCTCATACAACATTCATGAAACGCTCGCACAATGCTCATACACTAGTTGCTCCATTACACTGGGTAATGGTTCGAATCTCCTTGGGTGCACACTTGTTCTCTTGACTTGGACATTTTCCCATGGACACAATGTGTGTCAGTCCTGAGGGCAGGATGTCATCCCTGCAATGTAAAAGACCCGGGTTCGAATACGGGCACGTGAAAATGGTTTTTTTGTCCGCCGCCAGCCGGTCGGGTTCCGGTTACCGTACATACTACGGGGGGGTGCGTCGTGGTACCCGCGTATTTGTCTACGATGCTGAGCTGTGCGCTCGCTCGTATCCGGGGGGGTATGTGGGCACCACATGTCAGTATGTAAGGCTTGGGGCACCATATCTCGTGTCGGGCAAAGACCCTTTTTACAAAATTCAAAATATCCAATAAGCGCTCATACAACATTCATGAAACGCTCGCACAATGCTCATACACTAGTTGCTCCATTACACTGGGTACTGGTTCGAATCTCCTTGGGTGCACACTTGTTCTCTTGACTTGGACATTTTCCCATGGACACAATGTGTGTCAGTCCTGAGGGCACCTCTTGGAGTCGATCCTGTAAAGAACCTTGTGACACTTCCATCGAATTACCATCCTGGCCACAGGAGGTTCCCACTTGAGGGTAAATACTTTTACCTGAATCGGTACACCTTCGCAGCTGTTCGACCAGAACCCATGTACACAATCACTGGTCGGACGCGCACCACTGGCCCCCGTTTGTCGCCAATGAGAAGTAGCGGGAGGGAGAGAATATATATAGTCTAGACTATATGTCTATTTTTTAGATGAGTCCCGTGTGTGTCGCATCTCGTGCGGGAGGTATTCATCCAGCTCGTTTTTTTTATCATTTGCACAGACCGCCTTCCCTTTTCCCCAAGGGAGATTTTCACCGCCGGCAGGGGGTCTGCTTCCGGCCGCCGGGCCGTGAGACCGTCTGAATTCGAATGCAAGGCGTCGCTTACGTGAACTTGTGTGCATGGGTTTTGGTCGAACAGCCCAGCCATTTTGGGTTGGGGAAAGAAAAGCCGGGTAACCCTCCGGGGGGTGAGTAGCCAAAATCCGGTGCTGCACCTGGTGTGGAAAGGCGGTCAAGTTCGGGTAGGAGTGGGCGTCGGCCAATCAGATGGTGGCATGCGGTCGCTCTCAGCAGCATCATGTAGGGGTACCCGATAGTGGCCGTGTTTGGAACGGGTGTATGTACCCGATTTTGGCCATTGCTCTAAAAATGTATATCTAATAGGATAAGGATGAAGGATTAGTCTAAAACACTCCGAAACTTCCGCGTATTCCGATAAAGTGGCAGATAGTAGAGGCAAGAGAAAAACATGCCACTATTCAGGGCAATGCCACGCTTCGATACGGTCCAAAGGCAGCGGCGACGTTCACTGCCCTAGGGTGTGCGCTGAGGTGGGAAGAGCACCATGGTGCAACAAATGTACCTGGTCAAGCTATATTGAGCTGAATGTGACCACAGCCGTGTTTTCGATAGATAGGCTGGCACGAAACTTCAAGAAGACCCCGCCGCCGCCCACCTCACAAATGATTCGTATACATTCACCGTTCGTTTGGTACTCTGTCAGCCCCGCAAAATGGAAGTGCTGCACCCTGAAGTCGAACAGTCCTCACTAATAGTGCGAACCAGCACATTGAGGTATTTTTAGACCTTGAAAAATAGTGCCGCGCTTGGCACTATAAAGGCACAATTCTGAATAATAGTGCCGGTGGCCGGCACAGTGCCGGTCCACCCCCCCGTGGACAAATACCGGCACTATAACGGGACACCTACTACTTTGCTTGGAAAACTGAGATTGATACAGTGAGCGCCGGCCCGCTCGTAAGATTCACCCATATCCGCCGAGGCTTCAATCGTTTTGCCGCAGCCTCAACTTAGTGAGCTGAATTTCGTATTTATTCTTTTGTTGTTACACCAACGAATTCGGACTGGGGCTCCAAATTTTTCCATTTAAAGCAGCAGATTTAGAATCAAGGAAGTTCCTGGAAACTCCGTGCAGGCAAATATTGTTAGATTTAAGCGGTTTCACATGATGATTGGCTGAGGGGCAACAGTTCTCTCCCACCCAACGAACTTCCCCTGTCCGCAGGTGGTACTGCTTTATTGTGGTGCGCTGCGTAACAGCTGCACCCTGCTGACACCGCTCTCTCTCTCACTGCTGTTGAGTGTGCGTGCATGCAATGCGTGTGCGTGGCTGTGTCGCCTCCCTCAACCCAAGCACACGAAATCGCACCAGAACGTAAACAGGGAGGGAGTAATTATATGCTGGCCGGCAGCCTCTCTCTCTGCACGAATTGCTGCGTCTCAAGCGTTCGGGAGAGGACGAGAGGTTTTTTGGACGGGGGCACATCAAGTGAATCTCTCTCTCCATGCTAGCAGAGAACCAGCAGAGAAAATAAACCTTGCGCGGGGAAGGACGCACCCGCCGACACCAGGAGGCCACTGTGTGTGCTCTTCCTCCTGTCTGCCTGCTCCTCTTCGCTGGCGGTGCCACCACCTGTACGTCATCAGTTCTAGCTGTCTCCGCAGTTCCGGTGCTCGTTCTCTTTTTCCCCCTTGCCTCAACCTGTGTGTGACGGGCGGCGGGTGTTGCTGACCTGAAGCTGCGCAAACAAGCCCAACTTGGCTTTCTGACCGTCCAGCCTCCCTCTTGTTGGTGCCGCGCCAACTCCAGGGCCTTTTCGCTGGGCGCTGGCCTTCTCTTTGGCCGCGCGGACTGCTGTGTGTGCGTGGTGTGTGCCTGATGTGCTAAATCGAACAATGTTGGTAATCAGTGTTGGGGTACTTGCAGTGCAAGACCGACTCTATTGTGCTGTATGTGTTTGATACAGTATTGTGAAGGCGTGTTCCAAGTCGCTAACCGTCAGGTGAAGGACAGCTTGGGCGTTTGTGTGTGGATAATAAATCACTCTGTATTTTTCCGCCCACGCCTTTTGTCACACAAGCCAACCACAGCGTACTACAGCAGCTGGTACGCCTGTTAGGTTATGAGCCTCGTTTGTGAAGGCGTGTTCCAAGTATCTAACCGTCAGGTGAAGGACAGCTTGGGCGTTTGTGTGTGGATAATTAATCACTCTGTACGTTTCCGCCCACGCCTTTTGTCACACAAGCCAACCACAGCGTACTACAGCAGCTGGTACACCTGTTAGGTTATGAGCCTCGTGCGGTAGCGGAACTACGTCGAGTCAAACAAACGTCCGTCGCGCAACCATCGAATAATTTGCAGAGAGGATATGCGCCGTTCAACGGGGATCCGGCCGCATTTTCGGGCTGGGTCACGCGACACGGTCCTTGCTAAGCTGGACTGAGCCGGATCATGTCGGGAGTGGAGATTGCTCCTGGACCTCTGCCAGACGGAGCGACCGGCGTCGAAGCTGCGGGATACCGGAAATCTGTTCTCAAACTCAACGAGAAAATCGGCAAGCTGTACACGCGGCTGCTACTGGCTACGTCGGATGGCCCGGATGGATACATCAGTCCGGCTTCGCAAGTAGTGCAGCAGCATGGGCCAGTCGGGGACGAGGAGCATGGTGACGGACGAGGTGCATTCGTTGCTCTCGAGCTGAAATATCGGGCTGACGGTGCCTTTCGCATGCAACAACTTCATAATGAGTTTGCTACCGTGGCAGTCACTCCAGCTGACCGCTACGATCCGGCTCGTGCGGTCCAACAGTTGCGCCGAAACTGTCTCGAGCTTGGCAAGCTTGTCGATACTGTCGTGGAATCACGGAAGACAAATGCACTGCTCCGAGCCCTCCCTGATAAACAGTATGGTACATTCAAGTTTGTACTGCTGTGCGAAATGCCTACTCTTGGTGATGGTGGTCTGGTATTCGAAAATATCGCAAGTCGTGCCACGGCGTATCACGTAATGCAAATCGGTGGGAAAGTGTCTGATCATGATGACGGTTCAGGCAGTCACGGCCGTGCGTTGAACACGGTCACGCACGGAGGCGCACGTGGCCTTCGCAAGCAAGGCGGGCGTGGTGGGCGCGGTGGTCGCCGAGGAAATGGCGGCAGACCGGCGAACGGTTCGACCAGCGGCGGGTCGAAGGGGAACAACAACGGCGGCGGAACCTCCGGAGGCGCCACCGCGGGAAATGCGCACGGCGCCCGCGGGAATGATCGCGGCAGCCAGGCCTCTGAAGGTCGAGGAAAGGGCCAAGATTATGGCCGCAACTGCATGGGACGCTGTCGGTACTGCCACAAATTGACTGAGCACGGGTGGAACGACTGCCCACTCCGCCGAAGGTATGAGGCGGAGGACGCCAACGAACAGGAGCACAACACGCAGGATTCCACCACGCAAGCGTGGTTCACGCGAGTGGAGGCGGCCGACGATGAGCATGAAGATTTCGCCATCGTTTTCGGTGACGATTCGCAGGTGCTGAAGGCGTCTGCTGGGGCGCTGCAAGAGCAGCGCGCTGCTGGCGTTGAGCAAGAGCAAGGTGCGCCTGCGACGGCGCTACCTGACGGCCTCGTCACTTATGATCCGCAAGCACTGCAGGTGCCTGCTGCGGAGACGGCAGCGGAGAGCGCTGCTGGAGGCGAGCCTGATGCGCAGATGACGGCGCCGCCCGATGTATTAGTCGTACGACCCGCAGGTGCTCACGGCGCCTGTAGTAGCGACGGATCTTGACCTCGCTACCCCCGTTCCTATTCAGGTGGAGGAGTCTACAGAGTCGGTAAGGTACACCAGCGTGTATCAGGTGGAAAATGAGAAGTCGGGGGCTGTAGGTGATACGATGCTCTAGACTACATAGATACAGCAGCGTCGAGTCACATGGTCGACGCCCAATCTAGCATGTCAAAACAAGTGGTTAATCCGGTGGACTGTGCTGTTCGTGTTATCGGGTCGTACGCAACGTCTAGCACTACCAAGAAAGGCATCCTGAGTTTGGGATTCGTAATGCGCAAGAAAATGTTGCAACAGTGGCGCTGGAAATTCTGCTGGTTCGAGACCTTGGAGCGAATATCCTCTCTGTTGGGGCGTTGGCTGAAAAGGGGGTGAAGTGTGACGTGTTGTCTACCCCCCCGGCGCTCCGCCGCGGCGACCAGGCTTCTCCGATATCAACCGCCGTGCCTCGCATGTACGTAATGAACGTCATCGTTGACGATTTCAACCTGGATGCTGTAGATGTGTATCGCACCAAAGTCGACCCTCACCTGTGGCATCGGAGGATGAGCCACTGCAATCTGCGTGCACTGCAGCAAATGGCGGACAACGAAACCACCGGCGTCAAATTCAACCGGAATATCGAATCAGGTGATTGCAGCATTTGTTCGGTTGGGGATAAGGGCGATGAGGGCAGCACGACGGCGAAGCAGTTAAGACGGGAGAGAGAGGAACAGCGCGCACGGCCGCACACTTGTGACGTACGCTACTGCACGCGGATGTCGATCAAACTTTTCCACTGGCCATCATTTGGGGTGCATTATCGAGGCATACTCGAGATGTTGCGAGCCGTGCGCGCCATGTAGGTCGTGATCGGCTTTTGCGACGCGGTCAGGCCAGGGTGGGGGCATCGGAATAAGAGGGTTGTCTGTCTCCGACAACAATGAATATTGCTCGGAGAGACTCAAGCTTACAGCTTCGGCATACAGATGCCATGGGCGACGGCGCTCTCCTCGATTGGATGGAACCTTCATACGAGGCGGGTCGAAAGACAGGCGTTGTGCCCCTGTGTCGGGACGGTAACGCGCGGTCACCCACCAACGAGAGGCAGTACCCTAGGATTTCGTGAGATAAGATAAAGTCACAAGAAGTCGTGAAGATTCATACACTTTGCGACTGCGGGGCTCGCACAAGCTCCGATGGTAGAATCAGGAAGAGGATTCATTAGTCGATTACAATAGATGTGCTTTGGTTTTGCGACGTTGATGAAAAGCGGAGTTTTGACCCAATCGCGGCACGTAAGATCGATGAATATGCCACTTCTCGGCGGAGAGATTCTCAAAGAATCACCGAAAAAGCTAGCATCACAAAACTTCAGACTGGTCTCCCGCAACCACCGGTCGCCGTACAACTCGCATGCGACATATCCAGGCGAGCTATTGGAAAGTGAATCATTCGCGATGAACCGGGGGTGGGTTTGAAACGTCCCGTTTCCGATCACATCATAGTCTATCTAGACCACATCGCACAATTGTGTGGCGAAGAAACTTCCTAAAGGCGCTTCCTTCTACCTAAAAAATTACCACTCTGTAAAAAAAGCACACATGGAGAGAACCAAAGCTACTCACGCTGCTTCGCTGCTCTCGAGTCGTGCGTTTACCTCGCCTCTCTCGTAATCATTACACTACGTAGCAACGCTGACGCTGTCGTACCGGTGAGTGATTGCGTTCCACCACGACTTATCTGAATGAATGAATGAAACCCAGCTACCGGCCTTCACGCAGGCCCAAATACATGAGCACGTTACAACGCCGCAAGGTTCTGAGAAAAAAAGCAGAGCGTCGCGCTCTCTTAGTGACTGCACCAACATGGCGCCGCACGGCAGTGGACCTCGAACATGGTGCTCCTCGAGCGTACCTGTCACGGTATTCCTGTCGTTGGCCCCGTCGTCGTAGCGCCCATAACCTTTCGTCTTTTTGCGCAGCCCATGAAGGGTGGGGCCAAAACTGGGGTGCTTCGTGCTGAATCGCAGCCGTCCAGAGGGACCGGTGCCACCTCAGGCCTTCTCTTCGCGACATCGTGCTCGTCAATGCCTGCCTCTGGGGCGACATCCCCGTCGCAGAGTTCCGTCTTGACATTTTCGCCGGCTCCCTTGACTTCCGGCATGGAACCACCATTGCGGGAGCCAAACCTGCGGAACACTCGAACCATCCAGGGTTTGTCGCTGGCGTGCCGGGTGCAGACCTCCGCCTTCGAGGTACCACGAACGCCGAAAATCGCCAGCAGGGTGCAACCCGGCGAGCTGCATCTTTCGCGACGAATATGGACCATTCCTTGGGTAGCGTGACGCCCGCAAAACTCACCCTTCTTGTTGTCTGCCCTTCCGAACGATGGCCATTCATCGCACAATGGATGACTGCACCTCAGCCCTCTGACCGCCACCATCCCCTCTGTCGCATGCGGTCCACAGAACTCCGGCCTTCTATTCCCCACAGGGCCATAGGATGGCCATTTGATACACCCTGGGTGAAGGCATCGTTTACCGACAACGTCGACCGCTCCCTTCCCCGCGTGCTCCTTGCAATACTCCGCCTTCTCGGTACCTGCCTCGCCGAACTTTGCTCGTGCAAAACAGTCCGGGTGGATGCACGTGTTCTTTCTCACGTCCTCCATCCCCTCCCCGGCATGGATGGGGCAAAATTGAGGCTTTTTAGTTCCGACCACCCTGAAGCTCGCGGATCCGGAGCAACCTGGAGAGACGCACCTTCTGCTCAAAACGTTGACCATTCCTTCCCCGCGGTGTCTCGAGCAGAATTGTGCCTTCTTACTGCCATGTGCCGCATACGACGGGGATTTCGTGCAGTGTTGGTGAAGGCAACTCTTGCGGTAGACGCTCGTCATTCCTTCCTCCGCATGCTGACGGCAAAATCTGGCGTCCCTGCTGCCAGGAACTCCCCAGCGTGCATGACTCTTGCAACCGGCGCGATCGCATAACCTTTCGGACTTGTTCCTGGAGACTCTTATCATTCCCTCCTTCGCGTGACGACGGCAAAACTCCCTCTTTGCCCTGCCAGCCACGCTGAACGCCGCCACGAGAGAACATCCTGGTTGCACACACCTGCTCTTGGAAATATCGACCATCCCCTCACTTGCGTGTTGAGCGCAGAATCGCGCTATTCTGCTGCCAGCTGCTCCGAAAGACCTCGGTGCATCGCAACCAGGCTTGGTGCACTTCCTTGTGCACATGACCATGTCCTTCTTCGCGTGTCGCCCGCAGAACTGCTTCTGGTTGCTGCCAAATGTCCCATAGCAGGCCTTCGTGTTACAACCTTGGTGCTGGCAAACCTGAGTATCCAAACAGACCATCCCTTCCTTGGCGTGTTGCTTACAAAACAAAGCTTCCTTCATTTCGCTACCGGCAACACCATAGCTCGGTTGTTTCGGGCAATCTGGTTGCCTGCAGTTGTAGTGCACGTCGACCATTCCTTCTTCCGCGTGTTTTGCACAGAACTCAGGCATCTTGCTGCCGGCAACACCGCGTCTGGGGTGCTTGCTGCAACCCGGGTGGCCACACCTTTTCTTGTTCCGCACGTCTTCCATCCCTTCCAATTGATGAGCAAAGCAATACTCAGGCCTACCACTTTCTATCGAGCCATACGTCGGCTGCTTGAGGCAGGCTGGATGGGCACATCTCCTGTTGGTGACACAAATCATCCCCTGAAGGGCATGCTTTGCGCAGTACTCCGCGTTCTTGCGTCCAAGAGATGACTCGTAGCCATAAGTCGACAGTGTGGTACAGCCTGGCTGGGCACACGTCTTGTGGGCAAGGTTCACCAATCCTTCCGTTTTGTGCGTGGAGCATAGAATTCTCTTCTTGGTGCCGACCACGCCTGTGAACAGAGTCGAATTCGACGGAGTACGTTTGCGAACAGCAAGACATTGGTGAAAGGTATCCTAAAGGTTTCACAGCTAACAATGGTCTGACAATGTGAGTGTGTATTAGAGCATTAAGGGGCCCCTCCGCCCCCAGTGGGCGACGGGGTCTGATGGTAAGGCATTATGCAAAGAGAAAAACCAACAGTTGTATAGAGGTGCGTATGGACTGTAAGATGGAAGCACGATGTGCATGACCGAGACGGGATACGCCAGTTTGTGCGGTTCGAGAAACCTGACGTCTGAGCTTTCGCGGATAACCAAAGAATACTACAGGAACATGCCCAATAGCACAAGACAACGCCTGGACTTGGAGGATTTTCGGTACAATTTCAGTAGGACGAGCTACTGCAGGTGTCCCGGAATAGTCCGGTTGAACAACGCCGCCAATTTTTCTTGACACACCCTCAAAAGTGTCGGTTCAGATCCGCACAAAGCCTTTTTTTCGACTCAGGGCCTACCACACCGATCCGGAGACGGCTTATCTTCGAGCTACAAGTACAGCTCGTTTCTGCCTGTACGAAGTCGTGACGTCTCCAAATGTCATGGTTTACCGATTGACCAAATTCAACCACACGGTCCAATTCAGCCGAAAGGTTGGGATTTCAGAATAATGTACTGTGGTAAGGCGGGTGAGAAGAAAGGGTGGTGGTTGGTAACGAACGATGTAAAGGGAATAGAGAGAGGTAGCAGTGATGATGGAGGAGGACGATGTGGCGTTGAAAGGCACAAGAGTTTCCAGCCAGACAACCTTCCTCGCAATAAACGCCGAAGGGTGGCAGTCTAGAGATGAACGCCCGAAAAATAGTGGAATGATATTGACGAGAGCAGTGGTGGAAAATACAAGGATAAGGATGAAAACACTGAGTAGTGGTGGAAAATACAAGGACAATGATTGATGAAAACACTTCGAAACGACCGCGTGTGCAAAGTAGAAGCCTTGGTGGGCACATGCAATTTTCTTCTGTTGCAACCGAGTCTGTCTCAAATCAGAGTAGCATAACAAGGTGCCTAGTTTGATCGGGCAGCACGGTCTACGGTTAAAATACAACCGCATACCACAACTTCGTGTGTGCGTTGTGGGATGAAAAAAATGATGCAACAAATGTATCTGGTCGATCAACTTATTATTGTGACCAAAGCGGGCTGTAGGAGCCTCACGAAACTTGAAGCCCGCCCGTGTCACCCCCTCACGATTGATCCGCACGCCGTTCGTTTGGTACTTTGTCAGCCCCGCAAGGTGTAAGCGCTGAACTCTCAAGTCGAACAGTCCTCGACAGTGCCCAGCAGGCACCTTTGAGGAACATTTAGACCCTGAACAGTGCCGCACTACAGTGCCGGCGTGGCACTATTCAGTCACCATTTAGAATAGTGCCGGTGGCCGGTATAGTGCCTGCCTACCCTCCTGGGCACTACGGGCAGTACCGGGGTACCTACTGTGGCGAGCTAGAGGAATGTAGCAAAGGTTACTAGATCATTTAGTGGCGAAAATGTGGTGCATAGGTGGTGCTTTGGACACGGATGTTGTAGAAATCAAGGTGTTCATGTGTAGTCTGCCAGCTATAGGGTTTGCATTTACAAGGCTCCCCTTCGGGAGGTAGGTGGACGTGCCTCCCGGGGGCGACGCAAGCGGACGTGGCCGCTGCTTTCATCATGGTTAGATCGTTGAATACATCAACCTTCGGTAATGACAGGGTTGGTTTGGTTAAACTGCAGAAGAATACCTCGCCACAATGTGCGGGGAAACGTTTTCTTCTCACCGTGCACGATGACTCTTTCGCATGTCCTTGCGGTGTCCTTGCCGTAGATCCTACTTCTCCTGCTGTGACAGACTTCTGCTGCGGTGTTCTTCAGCGACACTCTTTTTGGCGGCGGGAGGTTACGTATCTGTACGGTCATCGCTGGGAGATTTCTGCGCATATTCTCCGCGACGAGTCCGGGCAAAAACATTTCCTCTTGCGACACACCCCGGCGGGTAATCGGGAATGAAACGGAGCCAGCGTCGTTCCCTACTTTTGTCCGTGTTGTCCGCTGTGTTAACAGTACAGTGGTGAGTCTCAAGCACGAATACCATAGGGTAGCGGCGTCTTTGCCGCAAATAGTACTGCTGTAACCCGCTACTCTTGCTCTCTCCCTCCCTCTTGTATGTTGTACCGCATTGCTCACGGTGTGCGGATCACGTGTGTGGCTTGTGCAGACCGTTGTCATTTTTTTCCCTCCTTGATTCTAAGAAGTCGCAGAAGCACATGCGTATAGCGTGCGCAGCGCGCTAGGGTACGCATGCGCTTGTAGCGTGCGAAGGCTAGCCAGTGTCGCTCCGATGCCGCTACTACAGCTATCCTTGTCCGCACCAGTTGCTGTGTAGTGGGTGTGTACACAACCACAGCAGCTGTGTGGGCGCGGGGCAAAACAAAAGTTCGATCTTCAGTGTTCATCCTGTTCGACGGGGCTTTCTTGGTTCGGAATCGCGACCCCTTGGAATAGAGCCAGAGCCAGCGACTTTTGAGCGGCCATCACGCGCCCTACCGGTGTCTAGCGAGCCTGACACGCCACAGGTAGTGTACCGACGGGTCCTCTGAGTGCCATACAGAAGAAATTGTGAGAAAAGACGCTGTCCCCGCGAAGACAAGAAACAAAACCACCATAAATTGTCGGATTGGTACATAGATATCATACATGTGATTGTAGGATAGTACCAAACCATACTGTAACTAAAGTTTTTCACCTGAATTCCACGACTGCGGTCGTCGAAGTAGCCCCAAACACGTGAGGTACATCCTGAGTTCGGACCTAGCTGGAGTGCGTGGAGACGGCAGTTGGTGTTCAAAAGGAACGTCTTGTTGAACTTCTTCAACATAAATTCCGAAAGGGATGTTGGTGAGCGAACCTAATTTAAATATTGCAGGAATGAGTGTGGCCCGCTTTTTACTTGAATATTCTGTACTGCTGCATTATAGGGGTCCTCTACCTTTATACTGTCCCTCAGCGTATTCCAAAAGGTACATATACCAAAAAAACGAAGTCTGGCGTGTAGACACAACACAGACTGTGCGACACTGACAGCCTCCCACTGCTCACAGCAGGCAGGAGTTCACCCTTCTATGTGTGCGGCATTGCAGGTCATGACAGAATTTCTAGGAGGAGGCTCGCCGGGGCGTGTGCAGCACAAGCATAGGCAAATACTAATGCACCGGGACCAATGTATTGGAGTTTAATTACGCGGGCGAAGCCCGCCAATCAAATCATGTGTCAAACCCATCTAATCCGCGGGCCGCACGCTTTCAAGATGTTGTTGCACCTCACCGAAACAGTAAAGAGACGCCAGAGCAGATATGTCGTCACCACGGCAGCAATCATCGTGCAGATATGCTGCCATGCGGGTTGTTCAACATACCAACGAGATAATTGATTATTGCTTTGGGTCGTACGTGCCAAAGAACCCTAGCCGGAGCCAAGAGAACGAAGAAGAAACCAGCTAACGTGCAGATGCAGATATGCCAGAGCATCATCATCATCGTCACCACGTTGCTTGAGGTGGTCTGGCGAGAGGACGGGCAAGCAGAAGACATAGAAACGTGCACGGATCCCTGGTTGTGGGAACTTCTGCTTTAGCTCGACATCAACATGCGTGTGGGCGTGTGTGATCTCCCTCCTCGCTGTTTCTAAGCTCTTCTTGGTGTGCTGCGTACTCGTCATCGACACTCCGTGGGTTGACGTTGCGAAACTTCGTACACACAGAGCCCAGAGTGTTATCTGCTGGTTCTATCCTGCTGTGGGCGCGTACAAATGCGCCAGTTGCAGCTAGCTCCCAGGCGGCCGGCTGATGTGTGTTGGTCTGTGAGCTGGTTGGTGTGAATGCTGTGCCAATAACATCGCAGCGTAATTGCCAAAATCACTCGCAAGTAGACAACACGACAGATAGGCGCCAAGACGAATGGAGACAGTTGATTGGCGAACGCCAAGAAAATTATGTCCCGGTGGCTTTTGTTCCTGCCCGAGCAATATCGATGTGAACACAAAGTATTGAGGTCTGGAACCCACAAAGATGAACTGCTGCGCGATACATGTAAATTTCCTTATCTGCTGTGATACTCAATTCTGTGCAGAATTTCAACATTCGGGGTGAAGCTAAAACACGGATTGCGCGATGCACTCAGTCTCCCACTACTGTACAGCAGATATGCGCCCGTATTAGATATGCAGTTCAAGGCCGATTTATTACAAGGAAGGTTACCTGTGCGTGATGCGCCAGGATAACGATCATCTACTTTCACGTGCATGGCCCACAACCTGTGCACTAACTCTATTCCACCGCTTGTGATATCAATAAGCCCATGCTGGCAGCACGTCAGGTCGATTGTCATCCTGTAGGGGCTATTATTACCGGATGCCAATATCTTCGTTTTAACCCCGACGGCAAAGGGAGAAGAGACCTTTTTCCGCTTGTTCTATTCGTGATGTCATCGCAAAAAGTACGTTTGGTTCGCTGGATACACGCTGTGCTCGGCACACAAAAGGTTGAATTGGTTTTGTTCACCATAGAGCAGCGGTAAAAGCGCAATGAGCAGCACCCGACACAAAGGACAGCACGCTTAGAAAGATCCCGTCCACCCGGCCTGCTGTTTTCAGATTTTCAGCAACAGCAGGCGCAGAACAGAGTGTCGCAACCTGAGTGTAGGTTGCGATGTCTTTAGTTTGCCGGCTCATTTTTCACGGTTGCGGCTGCCTTCTTTGACCACCACCTGTCCAAATGTAGACGAGCTCAACAATCATAGGGCGGCAGCGGCCCTAACGGCCAGCATCAAGTATATGCCCAATCCGAAAGAATTAGAGTGTCGGAGGCCCTGTTGTTCTATTGCTGCGTGGTGCCGTGGATCGGTGTTGACATGTAGCTGATGATTATGAGAGTTAAACAGCGCTCTCAGTCATCCCCTGACTGACTTGTTGATGTCTTGTGAGATGTGAGCGTGTGTGCACTGGTGACCTCTGTGGTGGCGTAGGCTCTAT